AGGGTAGTGCCCTTCTGAGAACATAACAACGGCTGATGAACGTTTACCCGACCGCTAAAGGAACTTATTTGTCCCGCTCTGCCTACGTCCTCGACAGAGTGCTTGACAGTCGTAGCAGCTGGTAGTATGGGCCGATATAATTGCGGGCAAGGAGAAGGGAGACCTGAATGGCTACTTTTGGCTTACTAGCCGTCGACAGCCAGTCCTACCCGGACCCAAATGGCGTCCCACTTGAGCCTCGAACTCGCGACCTTGTTGGTCAGAGTCAATGGTTACATTGAGCCCCGAGCTCCTTGTCTTGCCGGTCTAGGTCAGGGAATATCGACACCCGTTAGGCATCGCTTAGCCAAATTCGGAAAAGGGGTGATTACACTGCTTAAAACTTAAGGGGGAGGAAAGGAACGGAAGGATATGTTGTCCCCGTCTGGAGACTGCTTAGGGGCAAACAAAGGGCAACACATGAATTGTGATACGGGAGTAGTGGCATTAGGGGCCTTGCAGTTGGCATTAAAGAAACCAATGGACAGTATACTTCGATAAGAAAGGCCAACAACTTGCATTTACGCCAGTATCTTATTTAATTACACCAACGGCCAGTAAAAATTCAAAAGTATACATAAGAAGAAAATAAATAGTAAAAAACTGAATCGACGAATTCGCCTAATCATAAACAGCCAGAAAACTGAAATTAGGTCAAATAACCAATGTACTTATGGCTGGAAAAATACTTATCCTAAGGAGAACCAAAAAACGATACACGAGAAATCAAAAGTAAGGTAGGTCATACAAAAATGGCAAAACTGAATTGCGGGCCCCCTCTAGATATCTACCACCCGTAAAACTGCTTAAAGTATTTTGTGGTCAAATATTTATCTATTGGCTAGTGAGCGTAAACTAATATGTAATTGTGGCGGAAGTGATCAAAAAATATTAAATTAAATATGATTGTTTGTTTTAATATGCTGAAATGGAATAAAATTCGATCAACAGGGACTTCTGTTGAGCAGGATACGAATTCCAATTGACAGAAATTGGCCTTTATATAGGCGGATTTTAACGAAAAAAATT